CGCTCACTCCATAACGAAGTACGGGGGGTTGCGGCAAGAAGCAAGTTGGTTGTTGCCGTTTCGGTGTTTAAGCCAAGAGCGAGCGGCTGGTGTTTATTAAACAGAAAAGAACACGCAAATGCTTGGAGTCATGTAGACCAATCCAGACAAAAGTGGTGTCCATCCCTGACGGCGTGCGTGCACCGGCCGGCGTTGGGTACAGAGTCAGGGCTCACTCCAAAGTCTTTCTGCAGGAAAGTGGCCCCTCAAATCAGCGATTGGTCTTGCATTATCTCCCTTGTTAGCCAGAAGGTCTGACACAAAAGAAGAGTTTTAGAGGAAGACGTGTAGTTCAGAGATGCTTTTGCAGGTTGGCGTCCTTACCGCGTCAGTTGGCTCATGGTCTTTATTGGCTCCAGTCACCTCCCACAAGAGGCAAAGTCTAAATTTTGAGTTGTCTTGTAACAACTGAAATTGTAAGTTTTTATGCTTGATTAATTGTTATAAAATTACTTGTTACACAAGCGGAATGAACTGTTGGAAGGCACAATCGTTAGTAAATGGTTCTGTCTTTTTTTACTACAAGTTGAAACGCCATTATTCCTTATCACTCAGAAATTTTTAGTAGTTGGGCAGCAAGGTGCATGTGGAGCGCAGATTCTGGGGTTAAAATGCCTGTTTTGCCTGTTGTGGGGAACTGGGGTTAGTGGTGGCATGGTCCCTTCTGGTCACGTCTGGTTGTAACTATTTGGAGCCGTCTAGTCGGCAAAGCCAAGAGCTGGTGACCTGTATTTCCCTACCTTGCCACATGGTGGGGTGGTTTATGATCATTCCGTCTTTCGGCGGCTTGAACTCGGAGGAATCACGGTGCTGAGGGTGGAGCAGGTTAAACAGACCTGTGTGTTGCCCCAGTAAATTTAATCAAAAATACTGTCATTAGTTAGAAAAATACTGTCATACGTTAGAAATATAGTTAGCTTGTGGCTCTCACAATGTTATCTTGTGGAACTTTTTAGGGAAAAAAAAAAAGCCACAACAAAATAGCTTGTGACCTGTTTAGGTGTTACAGAGTTTGCATACAGCTGCGGAGTATGTGGTGTAAAAGGATGGCCTTTGTGTTGTACTGCATTTGAAATGTCTGGCATGTCCCTGTACCCGTAAAAGCAGGAGTGAATTGAAACTTCTTCTGCGGTGTTCTAGGATGTGTTTCCCCAGATGCGTTTGCACCAGTCACAGCTTCAGCATGAGAACGGGGTTATTTTTACTCTGCGTATGATTATTTTATAAGCTATCAGGAAGTATTGGAAGGAGTAAAGCAAGGGTAAACTCCTGCAATGCTGCAGGAGTAGCTGCGTCGTTAAGACACTCCTGCTGCTATTATCAGCCTGTAGCTGGAGCTGACCATTCCTCCCACAGTCTGAATAGTCCCTAATCGACATCAGGCAAAATTAGCCATGTTTGATCAAATAGTTTTAGTTACTGACAGAAGCAAGTCTGATCATTGGTAGAAGAAGTTAGTTGTCAGACTCACAAGTTACTCCATCGCTGAACTGGAGGAAATTTGAAGAGTAGGGGCGTGGTTATCCTCGTGTGGTCCAGCTGAATCAAAAGAACATCTGTTGATGTAGTTTTGTTTATGTTTTGTACCACTGAAAGAGTGGTTACTGAAGAAACAAAATCCAGTAAGTTACATGATCTGCAGGCTCTTTACCCCCAGATTTTCCCATGATACTGTTACCTTTTAAGTGGATACTGGGTTTTGATTGCCTTTAGGATTCTCATCATGGCGTGCCACTTCCTATTCCCACGTCAAATGGGAATGAGGAGGAGGTGGTGTACTCTTCTCAGTGGGAGCAGCAGGCAGCTACCTGGAGTAGGGCCAAGGGGATCTGTGTGTCAGGCTTGGACTGAAGTGAGGAAAACTGGTTTTGCTTATTCTAGGTATAAGAATGCAATCTTGGCACACTCATACCAATTTGGACAGGGCATCTGGCGGTTCAAAGAACCACAGGATGGTTTGGGTTGGCACACTGATACCAATTTGGACAGGGCATCTGGCGGTTCAAAGAACCACAGGATGGTTTGGGTTGGAAGGGACTTAAAAAGCCCATCTAGTCCCACCCCCCTGCCATGGGCAGGGACCCCTTCCACTAGACCAGGTTGCTCAAAGCCTCATCCAGCCTGGCCTTGAACCCTTCCAGGGGTGGGGCATCCACAGCTTCTCTGGGCAACCTGTTCCGGTGCCTCACCACCCTCTCCATGAAGAACTTCTTCCTGATATCCAATCTAAACCTTCCCACTTTCAATTTAAACCTGTTACCCCTTGTCCTGTCACTAGCGGCCCTTGTAAAAAGTCCCCTCCCAGCTTCCTTGTAGGCCCCAAGAAGGACTTGGGGAGTGAATATGCAGTGATTAATAATGGATGATTACCCCAGGTTCACTGAAGAAAGTAAAAGATGAAGTTCTTGATGTGAATTTTAGCATTATAGGAATTTGATTGTATAACTTCTCCTTTTGCTACAAATACATTAAAAGCATTTTCCTTACTTACCGTTAGCCTAAGCACCACTGTGTCTTTTACTGATGGCCAAGCTGCTTCTGATAGTTCAGTTTTACACATCATTACTGATGCAGTAAAGCTGATTCAGAGAGGCACATACTCAGTTCGTTTCTCCAGCAGTTTAATATGATCAGAATGAAGGCTCTTTTTTTTCCTGTTCTGACTCTTCTCTGTTCAATATTCACAGACATGATCGTATTATGTATCCTGACAACAGTGCTGCAGCTCTCTCTAGTGTAAGATGTGTTGTATTTTGCAAAGGTTGTTGAGCTGCACCAGTACTGAGCTGGGAAAAAAAGATACCAAACCGGTTGGAAAAACAATGGATTATATCTTTTCAGTTCAGGGCAGAGAAAAAAAGAAGGGAACATGTGGGAGAAAAAGAATTTTCAACAGGTTTGGTAGGATTTCTAAATAGCTTTGTTATAGGCAACTAGAAAAAAATGTTTGCAATTCTACATAATACTATATTTCTTTTCCAGATGATTTAGTTCCTTTACTTTTTTTTTCACTTTATTCTTTTACCTTTTAAAATTAGTGTAATATTTTAAAATATTTTCTTTAAAGAAAACCAAAAGGTCAAACACTGCTTAAAATCATAAAACCTCAATATTTTGGCATGTCTGGACCAAAGCATTTTGTTTTGAATGCTGAAATAAATACATGATGTCTTTGTTTTAGGAGACAAAGCTACTAAGAAGTTTTGACCTAAATGCACAAATAGTTTTGGTCCCCTTAGAAACACCATTTTCCATCTCTGTTTCCTAGCTCTATTTTGGAAGCAAAGCTAGGAAATTATTTTAAGAGTGGGTGATTTCTTTTAAAGTTGCTAATTATTTTTATCTTGTAGTTCACATACTAACTCCTGACGAGGCAATATTTTGATGCTGTCCTCAGGTGTTCATTTCAGAGGCCATTTATTTTTATAAAGACTTTGTAGGCTGTTGAGGTCTTGCTGCGGATTTCAGCCGCTGTGGTGCGAAGTGGTGGCCACACAGGTGACACTGAAGTGGGATTTGTACATCATGCAACTGGCTATTGGGGTGGAACTAAAGGAGAGCAAGTGCCACAAAAATGTTCTGTCGCTGTTCAGTTGAACATGCATGTGAATTTGCCTTGGTTATGTTCATAACCCCTTTATATTCTTTTTATGCCACCTTCCTTGTGCTTGAGATTGCTGGTGTTGCAAGGTGGATTTAAGGTCAAATACTCACGGACTATGAATTTTAAATTTGCTCAGACTTGAGATTTAATGCAAGATTAGGAGTTACACTAATTTAAATGTGGGAATACCACTGAACCAAAATTAAGTAGAATAACTAAAGTTTTGTAATTCAGACAGACCAGTTGTAGAATAAATGTCATTTTTCAAAAGATCGTTTAAATTAATAAATAGATCTGAGAACATCAGGATCTATTTCCACAAATGGGGACCGCTCATCCCTACTCAGCCTTGGGCAAGAGCAGGAGAGTGAAATGGCAACGTTTTCTGTTAGTGTCATGTTTTTCACTCTCTGAGGCAGGTGAACCCGATTTGTTGTACAACAGATGAATTGTTGAATCACATTTATGAAACAGTAATAACAATGGCTACTGTCAATATGTCTGGTGGTTTTTCTAGTCTTTCTGTTCAACTCCGTTCTAAGTTTATTTTCTATATGCATAGCCTTATGCTGCACCTGTTTTTATCTTAACAGGTTTGCCTGTTTGCCCAGAGCTGACTCGAGAGCACATTCCTAAAACCAGGGATGTGGGTCACTTTTTGTCCGTTACTGGGACTGTCATACGTACCAGTCTGGTGAAAGTTTTGGAGTTTGAGCGGAGTTACATCTGCAACAAGTGCAAGCATGTGTTTGCCGTCAGGGCTGACTTTGAGCAGTACTACGCCTTCTGTCGTCCATCCGCCTGTCTTAACGAACATGGCTGCAACTCAACCAAGTTCACCTGTCTCTCTGGAACCACCTCTTCTCCTGCCTGCTGCAGAGACTATCAAGAAATCAAAATTCAGGAACAGGTAAAAAAATAAAATGGAGAAAAAGGGGAAGGTATTAAGGTATAGATGTCTCGAGCACAAAACAAGTAACTTACTAAAGAAGATATTTGGAGGTTTAATTTCCTGCTGGAATAAGGTAACTCCGCTAATTTTAGTAAAACTGTTCATGCCTACATCACAATTAAGTTGCTGATTAGACTTACGTTATTAGGTAACTCGGTTCCAGGTCATAAAAACCAGCCAGGATCAGTGCATAGGTTAAATTTCCGCGCTGCATCCTTGTAACAACACGTCTGTGTTGTTTCTGTAAGGACTGAAGCTGGGCCAGTGCTGGCCAAGGAAAGCTGTAGCGGTGCGGTATGGTCAATGCACTGTGCCTGCAAATGTCTCTTCCCTTCAGCCAGTGTGGAATTCAACAATTATTCTGTGAGAAGCACATATTGAAATTGCATTCATTTTTCTGAAGGTAGTGCTGGCTGGAAGTACTGCTAAGCTGGAGGGGTAAGAAACTGTTGGGCCTCTTATTACGGTAGCGCATAACTATGGCAAAACTGTCCCAGGAACAACTACACTGTATGAAAATTGAGAATAAGTAGGGTCTATTGCAGACAATGTTTCTCTGTCTGTCTGCATGTTCAGTGTCTTTTTCATAGATTTTTTTCTGAGATCTCTCCAGTTGTTTCAGTGTTTCGATTTTATAAATTGAGAGTATAGTGGTGCCAATCTACATGCAAGATGTAGGAAACTAGACGTGGATGAAATTAGAAATTAGGCTCTTTCAAGTTCAGAATAGCAAAAAAGTCAGGGAATAAAACTCTTTCTAGGAAATAAGCCTTAAGCTGCATGTTTATATTACGGTGTTTCTGACATACGGTTTCGATAACATTTTTGTTGTTGTTGTTTTACTGTGTGACACACAGTCTCCATGATGGGAAGGATTTTCAGCAGCAAGGGCTTGTTAAACATAGAGAAGTTAAACCGGGAATGAATTTCACTCTTGTTTCCCACTGAGCTCTGCAAGTAACTGTGTACGTGTCACCGGTACTGACAGTGACGTGCACTGCCTGTGGCCATTTAGATGATGCACAAGGATGAATTAACCTTCCTAGGCACTAGAGAGTGAATAAATGTAAACATGTCTGACCTGTGCTGCAGAATGAAAAGGTACTTCTGATCGTTGATCTTGTGCAGTGGATAGTCTAAAACTATTGCAAGCTTTAAGTGTAAACGGAAAGATTGTTGGTTGGAAAGACAGCCAATGTGGCCAGATTGCATAGATTTTGCCCTGGAGAAAAGAAAAAGAATTACAGGAGTTACAGGCATATTTGTCAATATGTATTTGTCTGGTTGTGTGTGATTCGTTTTTTCCTGTTGCCAGTTTAATCCTTGACATATAGGTGTAAACTTATATCCCAACCTGTCAAATTATGGTTAAATACCAGAAAAATACAGAGAAAATCTTTCAGTATGTACTTCATTGAGGGGTTACCTAACCCATGGACATCCTTCAGCACCCAAAGTAAACTTTGCGTATTGAAGAAGTATCTAAAAATATCTCAAATTATGAAAAACATAAAGAAAAGATCGGTCCCATCTAATGATCTCTTTTAAGTGAGCTTTCTTCACCAAGATACTGAAATCACACTCCCAGGATTAAGCACCTCCAGCTAATTTAATACACAATCCCATTTCCATTACTATCAGCATTAAAGTTCCATTATTAAGTTCATGGCAGCAGCAGCATGTTTACTGTGCAAGTTTTGTGAGAAAAAGCAAGTACTGACTTCAGTTCCAGGAAAGGTCCTTAAGCCAGTGCAGCTATAAATGGCTTTTGAAAGGTGCTGTTGTTAAGAAGTGCTTTTCCTTCCTGTCTCCTAGGTTCAAAGACTGTCTGTTGGAAGCATCCCTCGTTGCATGGTGGTTGTTCTGGAAGATGACTTAGTGGACAGTTGCAAGTCTGGTGAGAATACAGCATGTATCGCATATGTTTGGACCACAAGCCTTTTTATTTTTCCGTTTGAGACGAACCTTTGCCAGGCAGGCTGTCAGTGCTGAGGGCAAGTAGGCTGTCAGCGCTGAGGGCTTGTTGAATAAGGTATAGTCATCAGTCATGTTGCTGTTTCAGCTTGGACGCTGGCATGGCTGTTGAAGACTATTCTAGAAAATGTCATATATCTCCATGTTACATCTTGACTGTTTGGCAGATCAGTTGCAATAAGTAATGTGTTGTGGCGTACGGGAAGTACATTCGACCTTGTTAGTGTGGGAACACCAAACCTCTTGGGGAAATTGGACCACACCAATTGGCATGTGGTGCCCCTCTGTACGTTCACAGAGCTAGGTAACCTGACCTCCTGTCTAAGGAGTGCTGCAGGTGGAAAAAGATACATGGCATCCAAAAAGGAAGCTAGTTGACAGGAAGATATATGAAGAATGGACTAAAAATTCTCAGATAGGCACATCCCCTTGCGAGACTCATTTCAGGTTGTACTTTATCAGAAGAACACAGTGGGTAGAATGTTAATGAGTGATTCTGGAATTCATCACAAAAGCTACCAGAAGTCAAATAAGTTTTAACGACAGTTTTTGTAAAGTAAATCTAATTGAAAGAAGACCTTTCAGAGTTTACTGTGAATTCCTCCTTTCTAAAAGAGGTAAGAAAGAGGGGTGTGCCTTTAAGAATGCACCTACCTTAAACAGAAGTAGAAAGACCATAGCAACTTCCCACCATAGCCATAAGCAATCTACCTAATGTTTTTTTTGGGCTTCCAGGAACTGCAGGAGGTTTACTTTTGTTGTTGGGTATTTTAACCTCATTGACTGAAACACAGGTTCTCAATTGCATTATTACACATTACAGCTAACTGACAGGTCTGCGTAGCTCAAGTCAGACGTTATTTTACTGATTTTTGGTGTTACCTCCAGGAGATGACATCACAGTGTACGGAGTGGTAATGCAGAGATGGAAACCTTTCCACGAGGGTGCACGCTGTGACTTGGAGCTTGTTTTGAAAGCCAACTATGTTAAAGTAAACAATGAGCAGCTAGCAGGTGTTGCAATGGATGAAGAAGCCCGCAAGGAATTTGAAGACTTCTGGGAAAAGCATAGGAATGATCCCTTAGCAGGTTAGTAGTTGAAAGCTTTTAACTAGGATATGTGACCAGAGATGAAATCAGAAGTGAAAATACACTGACTGAACATATTTTTTCCCCATTATCCTATCCCACCACTCATTCATCCAATAATATCTTTTTTCCTAGTACAGTAATGTCAAATTCTTTAATATTTCTGGAAAAAAAAGTAGCAAACATACTGCATTGATCTTCCTTCTTTTGAGCTTTCTTGTCAAGTGTTTGTGGAACATTTATTAACAAGAAATGAGAAATAATATAAATATCAAGGAAAAAAAAAGTGTGTTATAATCGAGAAAGAAAAAGCATAGCTTTTAGAAGAAATAGTGTGGACCAGTTCTGCTTTTAGGCAGCATAGCTGTTGACTCTGGGGTGAGAGGTCTGATTCGCTGTCTTTGCATCCCAAATCAAGCTGTGAATCTTTACCCCAGACCTTAGCACACCTCATGTTTAACCTAACGCTTGGATGCTTAGGGCCTTGATTTAGGTGCTGTGGAGCCTCCTGCATATATGGAGAGAGTCTTCCCAGTTCACTGTGGCTTGCCAAATGGCCAGAGTGTTTAGTATGCTGGCTCCTAAACTTACCATGGTCTGCAGTTAACCACCTAGGAATTAGCAGGGATTGTGTCTGGAGCTCTGTTCATCTCCATAATCTGAGTGCCTCCTCCTGAACTGCATGGAAGCTGAATGGACCCTTTAGGATCTCTGTCACCGAACTGTCTCGGGCTAACACTCTGTCATTTAACACCCTGCAAACGGCTTAGTCTTTCTTCTTAAAAGACAGATGGGAGGACAAGAAGGTGGGAATGTTGCCCGTGTCATCTTAAAAATTTCTGTGCTCACATATGAAACTGGAGATCTTGACACGAGCAAATATTCTTCAGAACTGCATTTCCTGGAAATCTAGCCTCCTGTTGTTTGGAACGAGAGCATTTCTTATCACCCTGGTTAGAACTCTTCAGAAAGTAATTTAGGATCCTCTTTGAAGATCCCATTTAGTCTTTCACTCTCACGACAGTTTTTGGAAGCCTGCAGGGAGCGTTGTGATTTTATGCAATATTACCTATTCAGAATAAATAAATTAATATGAACTGGCTACAAGAAAATTGAGGTGGAAATTAGAAGGACGCTAACTGCGTCAACTCAAAATTGGTCGCTCTGTTTTATTCCCTAGCAAGGAGAATAACGTGTGGCATTAAACCTGTGATCCCTTATGTGCTGTTAGTGTCAGGATCCTTTCGTGGTTTAACTCTGGCTAGCA